TGGTACGCAACTTTGATGGTCACTCTTTTTCTAATACAGAGCGTATTACATGTATGTTCTATAGCAACAAACTTCTGTCAGTATGTCGTAAATGCAACAATTCAATAACTTATTGCTACAAATTCATTTTACTTATACAAAATATTTATTGCTCCCGGCCATAAGCCCTTTGCGCTAATTTGGCGTAAACAGCCACCAAAACTGGTCATTGGGACAATAGTGCATTTGCACCTCAGCTGTGTTTTGTCAAATTTTAAATTTTTTCTTCATCTGTCATCTACATCTTCTACACTTCTCACACTAACACGCTCGCCGCCCTTTCATAGACCCAAATACTGCTGACTTGCGGCAGACGCAGGGGCACCCCGTAGTTGCTATAGGGTTGTGTTTCCATAAAGATTTCAGGTTGAATGCAGTGATGCGATTATAACTGTTGTTAAAATGTACAGAAATGTTTCACTTTCACAATACTCATATATTTGTCGTACACCAATTTATTTTTTCTCTTGCCCCGTGTCACCTTCTTTTAGCGATTACCAGTTTTCTGTCTTAGATGATCGTTGGTGCACTATGCCCGGTCCACAAAAACTCACTAATTGTTTGCCATAACATCAGCAAAAAGCGCCAGAGTACATGTCCGTCTTTGTTTACCTCGCCTCATATATCCCCTCTTTGTGTGTGTTTACAAGACTTGTTGGATGGGCGGCTGTTTTTGTTGTTGTTGTTGTTACCTCAAAGTTGATGGTCCCGCCATCCCCGTACTTTTGGAATATTTGCTCCAGGTAGCGGTTGTACTCCAAGGAGGTTTGTGCCATTCCTAGCAGTGAAACGAGGCACAGGAGGCGTACAATTAGCACAGGTTTAGGGGCCATTTTAATAACTGAACACGTATGTGGTAAACTTTATTGAACGCAAAGCGGAACCCTACTGGGGGCTGATCGTCATTCGTGCGTTCCGTTTCGACGACTGCCTATCCCGCTCAACGGTCTTTTTGAAATGACGGTTTTGCCGACGCAGCGTTTCTATACAACGGAAAGGAACGTGCTTCTCGCTCGCCCCATATCTGTCTCTCTTTATATCTCTCTCCACATTGCCTCTGCGCACGCGCCAGCCACTTACTTACTGTGTTTTGGCGGAGCTTTTCGGGAAGCTTTATTTTGCTTCGCGCCTTACTACGCACGCTCATTCACATTTCTTTTTAATTTAATCCTTACACAGAAGAAATTCGGTTTTTACATTTTGCAAAAGTTACTTCGAATATAATAAAATAAATTCTAAATTTCCTCTTAAATACTATGTAAAAATTGTTAAAATATTGGTTTTGTCTTTTCTTGGCTGCTGTTCCGAGGAACTCTTTTTTGTTGTGGAAGGGAGACAAATGATATATAAAATATGAATAAGTAATAATAAAAATTCGCGCCAAGTTCTGCTGCCAGAATGCCTTTGAGTTATTTACAATAACACTTCCGTAATGTTGTGCGTAGAATTAAAATGTTCAATATTAGCGATAGCTTGAGACTTGGGCCCGATCGATGCATTCGCTGAAGGCACCTTTCCTGCTCTCCTCAATCTCTAATCGAACTTTTCCTGATTGGGCATACAAATAAAGAACTTGGAGCACCACAGATTGATGGACTGCGAGGTGTCCGCCAGCCACTTGACCGGATGGTGAATGGTCAGATAGTAGATCGGAATGCCGGACAGGATGATTATTGTGCCAATGCCGACTTCATAGGGCGATTGCGAGCACGAGGATATTACCAGGAAGAGGCAAACGATCAGATAGATGATCGGCAGTGCCAGGTTGACGCGAATGGGTCGCTCCGCCTTGGGCTGCTTGTAGCGCAGCCACAGCAGTCCCGATACCGAGATAAGCGTGAACAGGGCCTCCACATAGCTGACGTAGTTGATTAGCACGTAGGTGTCCTTGATGAACAGCAACAAGAGGGTGAGAACGCCCTGAAGGATGAGAAAGAAAAATTATAAACTATTTTTATTATTGGAAAAGCATCAAGTGGGACACACCAGGAATATCAGCGATGGCACTGGCGTAAGACAGTTAACATTGATGAGAGAAATGGCTGCTGGTAGGTGTCCGTTGCGTGCCCCTACGAAAAACAGCCTAGACGATGCAAAAATGGCGCCATTTAGCGAGCCAAAAGTCGAGCAGGCCACTGCAAAGGGCATCACCCAAGACATATAGTCCAGCATCTTGTCCCCAAAGGTGACTGCCACCGCATCCGATGAAAGTATTTCGTCGGTGGACAGCACCGAAAAGTAAGCAACGTTCGTGACCATATAAATTATCGTCACTAACGGCATGGAGATGCAAATGGCTTTGGGTAGATTGCGATAGGGGTCCTTCAGCTCCTCAGTGACAAAGTTGAGGTAATTCCAGCCGGAGTAGGAGAAGAGGCCACTGTAGAACGCTAGATATTAATTAATTATAATTAATTATTTTACTTTTCCTGACTTATTAAAGTCTAAATTTCATAAAAAAAAAAACCTCACAAAATCACCATTTTTGCATATCAAAGCTTAATATTTTTATACATTATACATAGATGCATTTGTCNTATTTACAATAACACTTCCGTAATGTTGTGCGTAGAATTAAAATGTTCAATATTAGCGATAGCTTGAGACTTGGGCCCGATCGATGCATTCGCTGAAGGCACCTTACCTCTCCTCAATCTCTAATCGAACTTTTCCTGATTGGGCATACAAATAAAGAACTTGGAGCACCACAGATTGATGGACTGCGAGGTGTCCGCCAGCCACTTGACCGGATGGTGAATGGTCAGATAGTAGATCGGAATGCCGGACAGGATGATTATTGTGCCAATGCCGACTTCATAGGGCGATTGCGAGCACGAGGATATTACCAGGAAGAGGCAAACGATCAGATAGATGATCGGCAGTGCCAGGTTGACGCGAATGGGTCGCTCCGCCTTGGGCTGCTTGTAGCGCAGCCACAGCAGTCCCGATACCGAGATAAGCGTGAACAGGGCCTCCACATAGCTGACGTAGTTGATTAGCACGTAGGTGTCCTTGATGAACAGCAACAAGAGGGTGAGAACGCCCTGAAGGATGAGAAAGAAAAATTATAAACTATTTTTATTATTGGAAAAGCATCAAGTGGGACACACCAGGAATATCAGCGATGGCACTGGCGTAAGACAGTTAACATTGATGAGAGAAATGGCTGCTGGTAGGTGTCCGTTGCGTGCCCCTACGAAGAACAGCCTAGACGATGCAAAAATGGCGCCATTTAGCGAGCCAAAAGTCGAGCAGGCCACTGCAAAGGGCATCACCCAAGACATATAGTCCAGCATCTTGTCCCCAAAGGTGACTGCCACCGCATCCGATGAAAGTATTTCGTCGGTGGACAGCACCGAAAAGTAAGCAACGTTCGTGACCATATAAATTATCGTCACTAACGGCATGGAGATGCAAATGGCTTTGGGTAGATTGCGATAGGGGTCCTTCAGCTCCTCAGTGACAAAGTTGAGGTAATTCCAGCCGGAGTAGGAGAAGAGGCCACTGTAGAACGCTAGAGCAATATATCCCGGAGAAAGATTGCCCCCGCTGAAGGGCTTATCCCAATGCTCCGTATTGCCATCCGCCAAGTACCAGACGCCCGCTCCGACAATAACAAGAAGGGCCACCACCTTGGTTCCTGTGAATATATCAGTCACACGTGTCACCCACTTAACATTGTAGCAGTTGATCACGGTCAGCACACCTAAGAGCAAGTGTCAATCACAATTAGTACACGTATCTTCCTCGATGGATTATCATTATTATTCCATTGTTTCTAGGCTGTTTCCACAAACTTACATATCATGGCAGCCGCCAGCAGCTGTACGGCCTCAGCGGGCGCCTCGCAGGAGGGCCAGAAGGGCTTCAGAAGGTACTGTGCAAAAGTCAGGGCTGTGATCGCATTGCCCGTGGGCACCAGAATAAGCAGGGCGACCCATAGATAAAGAAATGCAGGCAGCGGACCAAAGGCTGTTCCAATATAGGCGTAATCTCCTCCGGATTTGGGTATCATAGTGCCTAAAGCGAGAGAAGAGATAGTAGTAAAAATCATTAAGAGAGACATACATATGTACGTATATGCATAACAGTGCTATGACATATTCGCGTAGTTCTGCCCTGCTCATCGCCGCTTATGTTGTAAGGAATGTTCGAATGTATATACTTAACTGATAATCAATTTTATTAGATCTCGCACTTGGTAAATCAACACCAGTTACGAGTATAATGAGAACGAGTAGGAACGTGTGAGACGCTCGAAGAGTAAATAGGGAGGGTATTTTTGCACAAAGTGGATGTGTGTAACGCACAAAAGGAAGCGTTTCTGACCCCATAAAGTATATATATTCTTGATCAGCATCAATAACCGAGTCGATAGAGCCATGTCTGTCTGTCCGTCTGTCCGTGTTGTTTGTCGGCTAGTTCTCAGAGACTATAAGAGCTAGAGCCACCAAATTTTGGCTCCGGACTGCTGTATGCTCACAGTGAAACCAGTGTATTTCAAAAATTAGCTACGCCCCCTTCCGCCCCGCAAAAGGGCGAAAACCTCCCAAATCCACAATTTTGAAGATAAAAGAAAACTAAAAACGCTATTCCGTATCTATCAGATCACCAAATTGGGATCCGATCGGATCCTTATTATAGCCACAATGGAGAAATTAATTTCCGGTGGCTAAACCCACCCTGTCCCGCAGCTTTTGTTGCTCTTTTTACATTCTCTCATTCACACTCTGCTTCTGCTTCACTCTGCCTCTGCCTCTGCCTCTGCCCTCCCCCTGCCGATGCCTCTGCCGACTTTTAACCCACCCCGTCCCACAGCTTACATTTGTTTTTTTGTTTTGTGCGGGTGCTGCCTCTGCCGCGAGTCTGCAGTGTGTGGGTCTAGGGAAGGGCGGCGAGATAAAGGAGCATGTTTGTGTGAGTAGTGTTGTTGATGTAGATGACAGATGAAGAAAAAATGTAAAATTTGACAAATAAGCGCTGAGGTGCATATGTAGTACTGAGTGCCGGGTATAAAAGTTGTGACGCGTAAGAAGCGTCTCACACGGCCCCTTTTGGTGTGCGGACGGTGCCTCTGCCTCTGCCTCTGCCTCGAGTCTGCAGTGTGTGGGTCTAGGGAAGGGCGGCGAGATAAAGGAGCATGTTTGTGTGAGTTGGTGTTGGTGTGAGAAGTGTTGTAGATGTAGATGACAGATGAAGAAAAAATGTCAAATTTGACAAATAACCGCTAAGGTGCAGATGTAGTACTGAGTGCCGGCTATAAAAGTTTTGACGCGTAAGAAGCGTCTCACGCGTCCCTTCTCGTTTAATATCGAAAAAGTCGACTTGGTCCCTTAAGTAAAAAAGTATCGATTTTGTCGAGTAGTGTAATTTGAAACACGAAACGATTCTTGAAACACACGGGGTTTTTGAACAATTTTAGCTCAGCCGTCTCTCCATAGATTTTGGCGAGCAATACCTTAAACGGCGCCCAATTAATGCACCTGTTTACAAAATAGAGGACACAGGAAATACTTTTTCTCGACTTTTCCTTTGATTTTAAAATCAAAATATCGTAAAAAACCGCAATCAAATCAAAATTTTTGCATTTCAAAGCTAATTATTTTTCAAACGGTAAACCAAAACCACAAAGTGTGTGTATGTACATTATATATGCATTCATCAGCTTTACAGAAAGGCTAATTTCATTACAACCAGATGTAAGATGTAACTCTAAAAACCTGTAACAATAAATATCATACTTGAAAAATTCGTAAAAAAAAGTGTTGCCATAGAATTAATACCATTGTTCTTTAACACAATGTTAAGCCCTCAGTCTAAAAGAAAAAGTCAACTTGGTTCGAAGCTGAAAAAAAGTTCGATTTTGTCGAGTTTTAAGCTCTTTTATTTTCTGTTATTTTGGGAATGAAAGTCTTTAGAGCGAGTATTCACTGTTCCAATTCAATGTTGTGTCTGACCCTTATTATTTTCTGCTCCTCCCCCCTCTGATTCCAATCAACAGAACAGCTTGTCGGGGAACTGATTTAATGTGTCCATTGAGAGGTCATCTTGATGAAACTGAACTAATTTCGATTTTTAAAACGAGTCTCCCGAGAAATTGCTCAGTGAATATACCAATATTACTGTGAGTATTTCTCTCTCGTTGATCATTTCATCCTACAGAATCCTAACTCTCGGTCTTGGAAGCAGAGGGGGGAGAAAGGGGAGTATGTACTTATGTTCATTTGTACTACTTTTTACTTATGTAACGAGAAGGGACGTGTGAGACGCTTCTTACGCGTCACAACTTTTATACCCGGCACTCAGGACTACATCTAGATGTAGAAGACATCGCCAACCACTAGATATCGTTCACATTACAGAACACGTAGTAAGAGCCTACTAAATAAAATGCATCAAACAAATTGGATCGGTTAATATTTTCCAATTTATGAGATATACAGCAATAAAATTGGTACATTCTTGGACCGATAGGTTTCACAGCAAATTTTTCGAAATTGGCGCCATCTATGAAAGTTTCTTGTACGCAACTTTGATGGTCCAATGGTCTGGACATTGTGTGCAATAATGACCCATAGGTTTCACAGCAAATTTTACGAAAGTGGCGCCATCTATGACAATTTCTTGTACGCAACTTTGATGGTCACTTTTTTTCTAATACAGAGCGTTAAAAACCGAGTCTTGGTTAAAAGTCGGAAGAGTCAACGCCAGGGGGAGGGCAGAGGCAGGGGCCGAGTGAAGCAGAAGCAGAGTGTGAATGAGAGAATGTAAAAAGAGCAACAAAAGCTGCGGGACAGGGTGGGTTTAGCCACAGGAAATTAATTTCTCCATTGTGGCTATAATAAGGATCCGATCGGATCCAAATTTGGTGATCTGATAGATACGGAATGGCGTTTTTAGTTTTCTTTTATCTTCAAAATTGTAGATTTGGGAGGTTTTCGGCCTTTTGCGGGGGCGGAAGGGGGTTTGGCTCATTTTTGAAATACACTGGTTTCAGTGTGAGCATACAGCAGTCCGGAGCCAAAATTTGTGTCTTTAGCTCTTATAGTCTCTGAGAACTAGCCGACAAACAACACGGACAGACGGACAGAGAGACATGGCTCTATCGACTCGGCTATTGATGCTAATCAAGAATATATATACTTTATGGGGTCGGAAACGCTTCCTTCTGTGCGTTACATACAACCGTTATTCGCACAAATACAATTACCCTATTTACTCTTTGAGTACCGGGTATAAAAATGCATGTACACATGCCTTCAGTTATAATGTACAGTGTAAATTTTGCAGCTTTTGCATTTTGGAGATGATATTAATATTTCGATGTAAAAAGATTTCTCGATGTTCATAATATTAAATATTAAATTGTAGGAAGGTTTGTTTAGCCCCAACCTCATATGAGTATTTTTGTTAACCACAGCGCTTTTCGTTCAGGTTCTACCATGGTTGTCTTACACTCTTTTCACCTATGTAAACAATGCCCCTCCTCTCCCACATGTTACTCCACTTTCCATATGCTGACCCATAATGTGCTGTCATCAGCCGGAACCAATAACTGCCAGCAATGCAGAACCGCCAACCAGGCGAAGGCTTTCGAGTAGACGAGTATTATCAGCAACAAACAAAGAATTACATGGACGGCCCCATTACTCACCCAGTTCCGCGTAGCACAGAGCGCCGACCATACTGAGAACACCACATAGCACCCAGACGATGAGCGATTGTCCAATTGATCCGGAGAACTTGAGCACACCTTTGGGGCTGACGAAGATGCCGGAGCCCACTATGACACCCACGATGATGGCCACACCATCAAGCAGGCCGATCTGTTTCTTGAGCTTCACGCCGGAGCCCTGGCTGTCACTGTCAGCGATGGAGGACTGGTTCTCCCGGCTTAGCTGCTCGGCGGCGGGAGGCATCTCAAAAATTTGTCGGGGTATAAGAGAATCGCTCGCCTGAATACGCGCCATTATACACAACTTTGGTTTGGGCTTTACTCAAGAAAGAGACTTGAATTAGGGGTTGCTGGTGAGGAGCTCTTGCGTATCTCTAGGATTTCCTGTTTCCTATAGCGAGGGTTCCTGCTTTTTTTTTAACTTTTTATGTAAACCTTTGTAAGACCATTGCTTTTATTGTTCTCCCGATGGGGTTTTGCGTTGCTTTACTTATTTTATCAGCACAATTTAAGCGTGCTCAGTGCCAGCGTGGAGCTCGCCCGTCGATTAAAATACAGTTACTTTTATTTCGCGCTCTTCCAAATGCCTTTATTCAGTTTTCGGTTCTATTTCATACTCGCGCACACACACGACACAACACTCGTCTCTCGCACATGTACATACATATATATGTATGGAAATGTAGCTTATCGGAAACACACGTGGTGTCTTTCAAAGGGGAAGAGTTCGCTGTCGAGGCATCTTCGAGGGCTACCTCAATCACTATGGATATAAACTATAACAGAGACGACATGTGCAGGCCACAATAAACTACCATGTACATACATATGTACACATGTATTGTAAATAAACTTCAATATTTCCAGGTCGGGTCGTCGACGACCGCTCCATGCACACGCTCTGTTCAAAGTAAGTTTGGAATTCATTTTTAGCCCCCTTTATGAAGCGGGTCTGGGTCTGCGTCTGTTCTTGCGTCTGTCTGGCTGCCGGTCCTCTGCCGCGACGCGCTCTCTGCTGCTCGCAGAGCACGGCATGCCTAACTATGGCTTTCCACTCGGCTGTGGTGTTGAGGTGCTTGGCGCTCTCCAGGTTTTCTCTTTACCTGTCGCTCCACATCATGCCTATCCTATCTGTGTGGTAAACAGTTTCTAGCACCTAGCGCATCGCTCTGGAAGAGGAATATGCTTCGGACTCTCTATCGAATGATGCAAGAACCATCATGAATTTCAATGTCTTGCGACCGATAGACCTCAGGCTCAGAGCAGCGAACTTTTGCTGCCAAAAATACTTGAGGCCAAAGAGACGTTTCTTTGCTCTGCTGTCTCTTCAGACAATGTTATCGCTCTTAGTCTATTAGATTCTGTTAGTCAACGACCTTTAAAGATATAAATGAAATGCAGTCTCTTGGCATCTAATCTAGTTGAATGGCTTTATGGGAAATAGCGTTTTTATAATATGCAAATTGTGTCATCAATAATACTTTTAAGGATTTCTGATTTCGGATGAACACTACTTTTAAGAACAACTTTGTGGCTTATCGATGAGTAAAATATTAATCACTTGAGGCCTTTGAGTTGGCTACCACACTAAAATCGCTGAGTAGGCAATGCAATATTTTTGATCTTCTGCATGAGGCTTCTTCCGCGTTGTTAAAAATTCTTGTGACTGATTAGCACTCCAGATTCGGAAGTATTTTACACGGAAAATACACACATTAATGTTTGGGTACATATAACACACATAAGTATGTACTTCTTGTGACTGATTAGCACTCCAGATTCGGAAGTATTTTACACGGAAAATACACACATTAATGTTTGGGTACATATAACACACATAAGTATGTACATACATATGTGTGGGACTTTTGTTAAACACTTGAGCGGATTATCATAAATAAAGTTGGATTAGATGAGCTCACGGGGAAATAGAGGAACGGACCCGTTCCGTACCGTAGGCGCGTGCATCTGACATTTCAAACTGTGATAATTCAATTGTGTTCTGTGTACTTTTAGTTCCCCTATGAGTATCTGGACTAGCTTCTCGATCAGAGCTCTCCCGGCATAAAAAAGAACACAGCTAATAAACAAAACAAATGTAGCGCCTCTGCAGGCTATTGTGTCTATGCTCTGCTCCTCTGGTAATCTAATTGACAGAGACGCACACAGAGCTCGCTGTTGTTCAGTGTGCACGTCCGAGTCCGCAAACATAACCGCATTTATGCAGTGGTTTCGGGCCCCCGTTTGCAGTTGATTTACTGTAAATTCGTGTGACTTTTATTGTTGTGTTCGAGGTTTTTTTTCAAGTTTTGCGCGTAACTCACACATGGAAAATCACAGAATATACATATGCTCATGTGGAAAGAGAAAATATGATGGATCACTTCCATATGCAATTTTCGTTAATATGTTTTGTGTTGCTTCCATTATGCCACGAGTCGTGTGTTTTCATGATCAACCTTAATATTTATATTTTAATACACTATATTATACTATATTAATAATAATATATGTATGTATTTCGTCATTATTAATCTAGGCTAAATATTTGTTAAAGTCCCATCACGGGTTTCGGACCAGGCTACCTAGAAAACTCGCATTAATTCAAATGGCTTGAGAGCTCCAAGAAATTTACCCGCTCTATGGAGAACCAGACGCACTCAGAACCCGAATCAGACTGAAATCTCTTTGCTATCGGCGGGGTATGCACTGCCCACCGAAAAGCTTGATTAAAATAATAAAACAACGAAATAAAGACGAATATGTAAATCCAAAAAGTGTTGTTTTTGTTTGACAATTGTCGGACACTTTGTGTTGGTCACTGTGTATGTGTGTGTGGGTGTGGGGAATGAGAACAGGCAAAAGAAACATGCATATACTCATGTGTAAGAGTATGTGTATGCCGCTCTGGCACCCCACCATCGTGACACGCATGCCACCCACCTCAAGAGCGGGGTCCTATAACATTGCTCCCTCTTTACATTTACACTGGATTTATCCTTTACATTCATATGTATTGTCTATTTATGTACATACACTGAAACAGATCGTTATCATTTCTAGCACCTACTTTAGTCGCCCAGCGGCGGAACCTTAAATATCTTGGCAGTGGTGTCTTCAGAAACGGACAACAGCTGGTTATCCATAGGCTTGTAGGCCAATTCGTAGATGTGATAAAAGTGTCCAGTGAGGGTGAACTTCAGGGTTCCTGTGCGGGCATCGAACGCATTCAGATTGCCGTTCGATGTGGCCGCCAGGATGGTGTTGTCGTTCAACCATTTGAGTCTGAAATAGACACATAAAACTATTAGTACCATTTATCAACTGGCGAGGACAGCGAGGAGAGTCACCTAAGGACGCCATCGTTAGGCACTGGATTCTCGCAGACAGTGCGCAGCGTATACTTTGAGTAGTCCCATATGGATATGTGGCCGTCCAGCGAACCGCAGGCAAAGAGTTTCAAGTCCGACGAAGCGGGAGCAAAGGCAATGCACTCGATGCCGTGCTCCGACTGCACCACACTGACGGGTCCACTGTTGGTGCAGAAAAGCAGCTTTCCTAAATTTTAAATTGGTCTGGATTAGAGAGACAACTAGTCAACGGTCCCATTAGTATCTCACCTCCTCCCTCGGCGCAGATGTAGAAGGGCGAGTCGAGCTCACAGGCCACCACAGCGTGGGTGATCTCGCCGAGGCCCATCGGGTGCTGCTCGTTCACCTCCATGAGCACTTGACAGGTCTTCAGGTCCCAAAGCTTAACGACTCCATTCATATATGCCGTTAGCAGCTTCTTGCCGTCACCACTCAGTTCTCCGGACTCGCACCGCGCCCCCTGACCAGCTAGGATTTTGCAATCTCCACTGGGAATGCGCCAGACATACACTTCGCCGCTGTCGCTGCCCGACAGGAGCACATGGGCACCGCGATGCCAGAAGAGCCAGGACATGTCGGACATGGAGTACGCCCAGACCTTTGTTAGGATGGGACGCTCCTCGCGCAGTTCGCTCACTTTGAAGACATTGATCTCGCCGGCCAGATCTCCCGTTACCAGGTAAGCGCCATCGTGACTAAAGTGCACCTCGGTGATGGTGTCCTTATGGTCGGTGATTTTGTAGAGCACCTCCCCGCTGCTCGTATCCCACACAAAGGCCAGATCGTCCTCACTTCCTGTTACCGCCCAGGTGTACTGCGGGTGCAGGCTGCACGCAAACACCGGCGCTGTGTGGCTGCGGAACGTGAGCACCGCCTCATCCTTCATGTTCGCAATGCGCTCCCGGTCCCGGATTGACTCCTCATCCATATCGTCATCGCCGTAGTCGTGAATGCCCAGACTGGCCTCCAGCTGCTCCAGCGTCACCTCCTCCAGTTCATCCTCCTCCTCGTCCAATGGAGGTGCGGCATTCGCGTCCAGCTCTATCTCTTCCAGTATCTCATCGTCGCCGTCTTCAAAGACTGGGCGATGCGGTGGCGTATTGTCGCGCATAATATAATCGGCTTGTTTTATTTGTTTGTTTTACTTTTTTTATAAAGTAAACAACACGTGGTTGGCGTACAGTGTGACCGAGACTTTTCGAAAAAAAAATACCGTCTGCCCTCAGAAATGTAACGAAATATACCTTGCAGTTGCTAAATATACCGATGAAAAAAGTGAAAATCATGAATAAAAAGTCCAGTTTAATGTTTCAACAAATGTTCATGTTCATTATAGAAGTAGTCTAACAGATTTTCAGACATATTTACATGAAAATAACGCAATAAACGCTTTGAATACAAGTTTACTGGGAGACAAAAGTAGACAGTAAAACATTAAAACCAAATATGAAATTTCTGCAACATAACATTCAGTCGATTAAAGCAAAAAAAAAATGATCTAGAATTTTTCCTTAACAGTGAGAACGTCAGCATTGCCATTCTGGCGGAAGTGTTCTCTCATGATCTTAGTTTTAGAAAAATAGCAAATTATAATCTCATTGAAAAACACAGAGAAGATGGCTATGGAGGGGTGGCCTTCGCTCATAAAAATAATTTAAATCTAAAAAGAATCGTTTTTGAAACCAATCGAGAAATTGTAATAGCTAAGACTAGTGGAAATTTACTAAATTTTGTCATCTCATCTGCATACTTTGAACCCCTGATACCACTCACCATTTTTAAGCAGACAATAGACAGGCTCATAGAGAAGCTCGATTCATTTGAAAGATGCGTTATAGCAGGAGACTTCAATGCAAGACACACTGACTTTGGAGACACAGTAAATACCAGGAGAGGAACTTTTTTGAGGAAGGCTATGAATAATGCGGGTTACATACTGGCAAATGATGGCAGTGTTACTTTCAGAAGAAACATTGATGCAAATGTAGGCTCTGTATTGGATCTAACTTTTGTGAAAGGAATCAAAATAGAAAACTGGAAATGCGGAAAATTTTTCCTGGGAGGCGGTTATCATCATCCGATAGTTTTTGTTATGGCTGGAAAAAAAAAGAAAGCTGTAAGATTTTTTGCCAAGAAAAGATTATTAACAAACATAGGTAAAATAAATGGAAGTATAGAAAGTCTAGCAAAAAATTTGGGCAGAGAAATAAAAGCTGCAACATATCAAATAGGACAAAAACAACTAAAATTATGGTGGGATGAGAGTCATGCTGAACTTTTTAGGGAATTCCGTGACGCACAAATACAAGCAAATGCAGAACCTTCTTTTCAAAAGTTCTGCAGAGCGGTTGAGGCAAAGATTAGCTAGCCCGTAAAATAACAGAAATTAACACAAATTCAACAGAAGATGATAAATAATCTTAAAAACCATCACACAGAAACTTTAGAAAAATTTGATCAAGAAAAAGCGAGAGGGTTTTTGGTATTTCTAAGGGAACAAATACCTGTGGAAGCCAGAAATATTAAAGCCTCAATGTATGCTAAAAAAAATTACGATAGTCCTGAATTCACTGTGGAAGATCTCGATGAGGTTCTTGGCCGTAACAAGAGAACAGCTGGAGGATTGCATAAAATCACGTATGAAATGTTAAATGCTTTGAACGTTAGTTGGTTTTTATAATAACAAAATAGCAAATTGTGACTTTTCAATGGGATGGCGTTCTATAAAAATCACACCTATACCCAAAAAACATAAAGATCTTACAGATATTTAAAATTTTCGCCCAATATCACTGATTTCGGTCATGGCCAAAACTGTAAATTCAATCATTAAAAACAAACTAGAAATTTACATAAATAAAACAAGGTACTACCTTACAGATCGTATGCATATCAAAAAAACAAATTTGCATCGATGTGCATAAATGATGTTATCAATGTAACTGCCTCAAAGAAGAAAAACAACGAACATGTCGTACTAGCTTTTGTAGACTTAAACAATGCGTATAATTGTGTAAACTTAAATTTCTTAAGTATGATAATGAATAGTGAAAAGTTTCCAAAATGAACACAGACTGTATCATGAGTTTCTTATCAGTTAGAATGTTAACGAGAAGGGACCTGTGAGACGCTTCTTACGCGTCACAACTTTTATACCCGGCACTCAGTACAACATCTGCACCTTAGCGGTTGTGTGTCAAATTTGACATTTTTTCTTCATCTGTCATCTACATCAACAACACTACTCACACCAACACGCTCCTTTAGCTTGCTGCCCTTCCCTAGACCCACACACTGCAGACTCGCGGCAGAGGCAGCGCCCGCAAAAACCATAAAAACAAATTAAAGCTGTGGGGCGGGGTGGGTTAAAAGTCGGCAGAGGCATCGGCAGGGGGAGGGCAGAGGCAGGGGCCGAGTGAAGCAGAAGCAGAGTGTTAGTTTTCTTTTATCTTCTAAATTGTAGATTTGGGAGGTTTTCGCCCTTTTGCGGGGGCGGAAGGGGGCGTGGTTCATTTCAAAACCAATCTTGGTGGTTTAAGGAAGAAAACACAAGAGTGTTTTTTCGGCAAGCAACTCTTTTTTGAGTTCAAAATTTGCAGGATTCTAAATTTCAACATAAAGTACCTGGTCAATGCGGACTCATCGTCTCGGACCAACCAATTTCGCTGTAGCGATTAAATTAAAAAAAAAAAAGAATAAAAAAGGAGTTAAGACCAATCCAACACCAAAAACAATTCTAGCCAAAAATTTGCTATATATTTATTTTGTGCGTGGAACGTAAACACTAACCAAATAGTATAGTAGACTATCGCTTCATAGAAACGAAACGTCACCGCTCAATGTGCGTCTTGAAGTCCCAGGCCTCTACCAAAGTCTATACCATTTGGTTAGTGACGTAACTAACCCAGGCATTCGAATCAGCTGTGTTTTGTAAACATGTGTACAGCAGTGGCAGTTTGAAATTTAAACTGAAAGTACAAAAGTAGCAAAAAGAGCTGGTAGTTGAATTGAGAATGCATTTGGCATTTGCCTATAATGAAAATGGTTTGCCAAACGTCCATTATTGCCAAAAGAGCACAAATGGCAAATAATTAATTTCAGCAGCCGGCTGTTCTCTCAGTCCACACAAGCTATTCGTATCGATATATCGACAAGAATCTGTGGATTTTGTTAACGTTGGTGGATACTTAAGAAACAAACAGTTAAAACAAAAACTTTGTGGCTCGGCTTTTTTTTATATAAAGTTTGGCAGACATTTTTTTGTGGTGCTGGATACCAGTTTTTTTTTGCAAAGCCAGCTTTATTTTTTTGCCAGCTTTTTTTCCCCAAGCGATTTTTTGAATTTGTTTGGGAGAATAAAAAATTCAAAAATACTAGTGAAAGTACTTGAAAAGGGCT